CAAACCTTAAATTATGCAAGATGGTGGCGTGCAGGTGGTGATGATAAAACATAGAAGATAATGGTGATGTCTGAGATGGTGGTAATTAAGCGAACCTGCAAATCAAAGAAGATACAATAACTGTAGTCATGGTGTTGCGCAAGTGGAGTGAAGCGATGGGCTTCTCTCAGTAACTCCGACGGTGGTGGTGGCGGCGACGACAACTCTCTCTCTCTCTCTCTCTATATATATATATATATATATATATATATATATATATATATATATATATATATATATATATATATATATAGGTCCGACAATAGAAGAATGAATACGAACCGAAGAAGATGAAGGTTGTGGGTGGAGGTAAGAGGTTAATGATTTTATGGTGGTGGGCTATATTTTTGTTTTTTTGTCTTTTTATTTTTTTTAATTGTCAATAATAAACAAACTAAAAAACTAAATCAAAAAACAAATGAAAAAGGTAACATAATCATTTTATGTCCATCAGGGACGGTTTGAGTGAGAAAAACACATTGCAGGGGCGATCCGAATTAATTTTTGAAAAAAGAAACTGAGCGTGCACTTTGGCACATTTATAAGGGATGATTTGTGTAATTTACTCTATTTCATTTAATTAGGTTAGACATACATTGAATCTGGATAACTGATTGGCAGTAATGATGTTGTTTTTATTTGCTAAAATACTTCTTGTAATCTTGTTTTCTACATTCTTGTTAGCATTTTGTTTGGTTTAATGATATTTTCCTCGTTTTAATAAATGTAATGATTATTTTAGAGTTTTAATGCCTCGTTGTAGGTTGTGTTTGGCGCGTCACGACTAGCTGATAAATTAGCTTAAGCTATCCGGAGTGGGTGTGAACACACTCATGAGTTTCCTATGTAGCATATATGTGGCACACTAACCCATGGTGAACACCGCTCCGTGGACCGGTCGTTTGGCTGTGTAGTGGCTTCTAGTGGTTGTGAAGACGGAACAAGACGAGCATTTTGATTGGTTCTTCCTTTTTCCCTTATAATTTTCACTCATCTCTCCTCCTTTTTGCCTCTTCACTACCAACCCACAATTTCCACGATCTAGTTGGTTGGTTGTGGAATAGTAAAATACCTACCAGGTGTTGAGTTGGCCGGTAGTTTGATTGTGACCACTCCCCAAAGCCTTATTTTTTGAGGGTTTTTTTTTTTTTTTTTTTTTTTTTTTTTTTTAATTTTTTTTTATATTTTTAAGTTGTCATGTTTGATAAATCAAAACATAGTTTATAAGTTAGTTTTTTAAAAAGCTAATTAGATTAGCATTTTAGGAGGGTTTTTTTATTCAAATATACTCCTTAATTAATTATTGAAACACATTCTTTTAAATATCGTTTTATATCTTTTAACTAACTTTTTAGTTAGTTTGATCAAATATCATTTTCTATCAGCTGGTTTTCCAACTATCAACTAGTTTTTTATTTCACAAGTAACTTTTCAGCTATATCAATTAGCTTTTCAGCTAGTACGTCGAGCATAGGCTTAGAGGGTGTTTGACAAAACTTAAAAAATAAGCTTTTGACTTATTACCGGTTTCACAACGATATAAATCAAAGAGAATATTTGAGTAAAATTTGTTTAAAAAACAACTTATAACTATTTGGAACCTTTAATAAATTATTTTTTGATAAGTCACTTATTTTTTACTTATCAAAACCTTTTTATTTTAGTATTCATAAATTTGACAAATATACCCAAGGTTGGAGGATGTGGGGTGCAGTTTCAACTGATGTGACACTGAAACACCGTCTTCTCTATGTGGTTTTGAAAGTGCAGTTTGGAAGTGTGGCAAAAATTGGGAGCGCTCGCGTTCGCAAAAATTGGGAGCGCTCGCGTTCTCTCTCTCTCTTCCTTCATCTCTCTATCTCTCTCTTCCCTAACTCTCCACCCCTTGGGTGTTGTAAAAAAATACGGTACAAGGAGGGAGTGTCCACTCTAATAACCTAAACCTATACGGACACAAAATAAACGTATGCTAAGCCATAAAGTTAAATCATTTTTCTAGATCGTGATGATTAGCTATAAATAGCAAAAGCCATAAGCCTTTTTTTTAGTTAAATCATTTTTCTAGATCGTGATGATTAGCTATAAATAGCAAAAGCCATAAGCTTTTTTTTTTTTGAAACGTCAAATCTAACTTACTCATAAACTACACCTTAAATCCACCTATGTCCACGACGGGACTTGAACCGTCAACCTCAAGGAGGGAGGGCAACACTGGGTACCGCTGGGCTAGAAGCCCTTTGGTCATAAGCCATTAGATATAACAATTAAGCAATTGTAACTGCGTGAATAAGAAAAGGTATACATAAATAATTAACTATTAGAATGATACTTGACTTTAATTAAAAAAGAAAGTATGACAAGGTTGCTTGAATGTGTTCTACGGAACCACTTTATTAAACAAAGGTCCTCCTATTCGCACGAAAAGTCGTGTAATTGTTTTTGTATTTATGTCTTAAAGTTTGAAAACCTGATAATCTCTCACAATCGTATCGTTTTATGTAAAAATGTTATATAAATTCTCAATATTCCCTATTTTTTCCAATTCATTATTTTTAACCTATAGTAGTCTTAGTCCAATTCATTATTTTTAACCTATAATAGTATTAGTCCAATTCATTTGTATACATTATTTTTAACTTATAATAGTATTAGTACAATTCATTTGTATATCAATCAATTAGGTCCATCTGAGATATGAAATATCATTAAAGATCAAAGATAAACAAAAAAATAAACACTGATCATCATTAGAATTTTTTTAAATAAATATATATAATAAAAAAATTAGATCTTATGGAGCTCCCCACTTTGCCTCCCCCTCCCCCTCAACGCCCCCATATCATCCAACATTTAAACATTAGTGTTAAAAACTCAATTAATATTTAAAATTAATTAGTATTTTAAAATATTAGCATTTAGAGTTGGTGTTTAAAAACTCAAGGAGTCTTTAAAATTAACGTTTACAAACTCAATTAACGTATCAAAACTCAACTAGCGTTTAAAAACACAATTAGCATTAAAAGAAAATAAAACTTCTTTACATTTAAAATTATACAAATATTGAAGCGTCATAAAACCGTTATAATTTTTTTTTCTCACATGGGAAATCCATTGGAATTTTGATTTTTTAGTACATATATAAATAAAAATATATTTTGTCAAAATTTTGGATAAATTTGACTAAATTAAATATAATCAATCATTTCATTCGTACAAAATGCATTTAGAAAACTCCAATAAGAACTTCATTGTTAATTGTGTAACACACCGTTTATTAAATAAATAAATAAATTAATTAATGTATAGTAGCCCTAAAATCGATAATTATATAGCACGGTGTTGGTCTGGAGGAGTTAATTGCTACTATTTTAGAAGTTAGGGGTTAAAAGTGTAAGTTTCGGATTTGTTTTGTAAGTGTTTATGAAGTCGGTTAGGTCGGTGTTCGGGTTATAGGGTATTGCTATGCTATACGATCCGTTAGATCGGTTTGATTATTATATATGTATGTTAGCGTATGATAGTTATATGTACATCTTTGTTTTGATTTGGGATGGGTTGAGATGATCCTGCTTTGTGCTGAAGGCCAACATACCCAGGGCGGACCGGATAGACTACAAACCCGAAAGGGTATAGTAGTCAGACCGAAGGCCCGACGAGCGATCCGGATAGGCTGAAGGCCTTGAGAGGCGGTCCAGACGTGCCGAAGGCTCGGAGAGCGGTCCAGAAAGACTGAAGGTCTGCGAGGCGGTCCAGTCAGACTGAAGGCTCATTATGCATGATGTTCTATATTTGGTGATATGATATGATTATGGTTATATGAGGTTGGTAATTTGGGGAACTCACTAAGATATTGGACTTACAGTTTCAGTTTATTGTTTCAGGTACATCAGGGGATCGCGGCAAGGCGAATGCGTGATCACACATCTCCTCATGTTTTATTTATGTTTTTGGGAAAACTCTAATATTAGACTATTTTGAAAACAAATTTGTAATAACTACTAGTTTTAAATGTTTTGAAAGGTTTTAAATTGACTTGAATTTTATGGGTATTACAAGTTGGGCATGTTAGTTGCATTTGATCCCACATCGACTGGGTAGGAGAACTAAATATTACTTATAAGAGATGTGGATACCTTTCCTATCACAACGCGTTTTAAAGTTGTGAGGGCAACAAATCCCATAAGAACTTTGTAGTTAAGCGAGCTCGAGCAAGAGCAATTCAGGGATGGGTGACCTTCTGGGAAGTTTTCACGCCGGGAGCCCAAAGCGGACAATATTGTGATACGTGCTAGAGAGGGATGTTACAAATGGTATCAAAGCCAGGGCACGGGTTGATGTGTTTGACAGGGACGTCGAAACCTATAATGGAGGTGAAGGCGGGCAGGTTAGCTACACCTAATCCCACATCGACTGGGAAGGAGAACTAAACATTTCTTATAAGGGATGTGGATACATTCACTATCACAACGTGTTTTAAAGTAGTGAGGGTAGCAGATCCTATAAGAACTCTGCAGTTAAACGAGCCCGAGCAAGAGCAATTCAGTGATGGGTGACCCCTTGGAAAGTTTTCATGCCGGGGGCTCAAAACGGACAATATTGTGATCCGTGCCTGAGAGGGATGTTACAAATTGCATAAAAAAACAAATAAGAATAGAAAAAGGTCATTTACCCTATTATATTAATGATATTTAAATAATGGATGCGTGGAATATATTTTAAACAAGTAAAAGGTAAATTTTGAAATACATAATCAACTAGAAGGGTGGCAAATGAAAATACATATTATGAAATATACATATTATGTAAACAGTATGTTTAAATTTAAAAATAAAGTTTGATTAAATGAACATAATCAATCAAACCATCGTGTGTATAAACAAAACAATGTGGAAAAACTCATGGTTAAGGTTTGCATGTCTTATTAAAGAGACGTGAAAAGTAGTGATCACGTCACGTTATGGATCCTCCATGATTTCCTCTCTTCCATTCTCTTTTGAGTTCTCTCTCCCCCTCTCCCACATTCTCTCCAAAACACATCATCTCTTCTGATTCTAAACGATTCCAGATCTTCTGCAATTTTGATTTGTTGCTTCACAGATGTGTAAAAATGGCTGTCGTCAGGAGAACGATGACGATGAACTGGGATGGTTTAGGCGACCTCGACGACGATGAAGACATATTCTTCGACGCACAACGCCTCTCCTCCGTTTCCCCACAGGATCTCGCTTCATCGTCATCAGATGAAGAATTCGATGATAGCCGGATGTCTTTCTCCTCCGCCGCAGATTACGGCGACTTGGCGGAATTTCAAACCGGTGAATATGATATGTGGATGGCAGCGCCTGAATCGATCACCGACAGGCGACGTAGGCTTCTAGAAGATATGGGATTGAACAGCAACAAAGATCTGTTAGCTGGGTTGGGTAGCCCGATAACTAAAGCTCCGTTGAGACCAATGCAATCGATAAAAAGCGAGGCTTCGTCGGAAAAAGAGTTGCCGGTGAAACAGGATCAGCGGCAGGATCCTTTTGAAGGCTTGCGTGGAACTCTGCTGCGTTCAATGTCGGATGGAGGTATAGATACATCTTTCCTGGATAAAAAACGTCGGGAAGAAGAAATGATCGGATCGATTCCGAAACAACGGCTTACTCGAACTCGAACGTTAGCCACAAACCATATCGTAGGGCAGATGGAATCCAACTTCTTGATCAAGAATTTGGATAATGGAAAGGAATTCGAGGTTAAAGAGTGTCACAATGAAGGGAATTGGAATAAACTAAGAGATGTTCAAACGGGGCAGCATATTACAATGGCGGAATTCGAGAAGAACGCAGGGCATTCGCCGAAAGTGAAGGAAATAATGCAGAAGGTGATCAACGACGAGAAAAATACTTCTGATGATCGGAAATTAACGCCGGCTAACTCCTCCATCAAAAAAAGCTTCAGAAAAAGCAAGAAAAAAGGTGCTGCCTTGTTTAAAAACATGAAATTAGGATCAATGGGCAGTTCGAAGTCGCAAAAAGAGAAGGATGCTAAAATCACTAGTTCTCCTTCAATCAATGGTGATAATTCGGCATTGATAAGCGAAACGAAATCACAATCACCTTCGCAGTGGGTAAAAGTTCGAGTTCATGCGAAACCATACAAGGAATTCACAGCATTGCATCTGAGTCAAGAGATTAAGGGTCATGAAGGATCGATTTGGGCGATGAAATTTACATACGATGGTCATTATCTAGCGACTGCCGGTGAGGATAAAGTGATCAATATCTGGGAAGTGCAAGAGTGCGATCTCATGTCAATTCGGAGTGGAGTAGATGATCTGAGCTCCGTCAGTGGCACACCGGTCCACCCAATGGCAATGCCTAGTCCTGACGGAAGGCCGCCATTGCCGGATGCTGTGCCGGAGAAGAAGAAAAAAGGGAAGAAAAAGAAAGGAATCCCTGACTATGTCCATGCACCTGAAACTGTTTTTGGCTTATCGGAAATACCATTCTGCACTTTGGAAGGTCATCTGGAAGATATCCTCGATCTATCATGGTCAAGATCTCAGGTCAGTTTAAAATTCACCTTTTCTTTTCTCCTTTCATCTGAGTTGGTAGCATAATGGAGGAATTTTATCAATGGCATGCAGCTCCTCCTTTCGTCTTCAATGGACAAGACAGTAAGGCTATGGGATATCGAAACTAAAAACTGTTTAAAGACATTTTCTCACACCGATTACGGTATGCACGACATAATAACCAGTTTAATTAACATTGATCTCCGATCACTTATTTGGTCACAATCGGAAATTAAAGAAAATCTTTTTTTGACCATTTATGCTATGCATGTGTATGGCAGTGACTTGTATACAGTTCAATCCGGCAGACGACGACTACTTCATAAGTGGTTCACTAGACTCTAAAGTACGAATCTGGAACATTCCAGATCGGCTTGTAGTCGACTGGATCGATCTTCATGAAATGGTAACATCCATTGGGTATTCCACCGATGGCAAGGTTTCGATTGTCGGTTCCCACAAAGGGATCTGTCGATTTTACAATACATCTGGTATGAACCCTATCCCTAAAACCCTCAATCATGCTACTGTTCTTGAGTTTGAACTAGTCTATTTTCGATTTTAGAAAGAAAACTTGAGTTTAAAGAGCAAATCGAGTTGAAAACAAAGAAGACGAAGACACAGCCTAAAAAGATAACTGGTTTTCAGGTATTGAAATGGCTTTAAATTATATATTTCTTGATGTATTGTTTTTTTTTTTTTTTTTTTTTACAAAGTAACAAATCATGTTAACGTACAGTTTTCTGCCTGGAATCCATCTGAAGTACTCGTCACATCTGCGGATTCGAGGGTTAGAATTTTAGATGGAACAAAAGTTGTCCAGAAATTCAAAGGTAAAATCATAGTTTGACTTTCAGAGTTTTAGGTCAAACTGATTGATCGTCGCTGACTATCGGTTACCCACAGGTTTTAAGAACATTAACAGCCAATTTTCGGCTGCTTTTAGTACTGATGGGAAATACGTAATCAGCGCTAGTGAAGATTCACAAGTATACATATGGAGGCACGAAGAAACTCGATCAAAAAACAAACGCGCGATGATCATGAAATCCTACGAAAATTTCCCATGTAAAGAAGTTTCCGTCACAGCACCATGGCCGGGAACCAGCAGACTCGCACCACCAGTCGTTGCTATGCATTCTAAAAAACACGCAAAAAAGTCAATCGCCACACTGCCGCCATCTACCGCCACCTGTTCTACTCCTCCACCGGATGAAAGTACTGGGAATAGTAAGAGATCGTCATCTCTGCCACCTGTCCCGAAAAGGAGTAGTTCCTCAGTGGAGAGCATGGAGGACACAGAGCAGAATTCCCATGGTGACTCGGGTATTGAGCCATGTGAGTCATTCAGCACGGCGACTGGTTCATCAGGTAGGTTGGATGAAGTCGCAGCTCCTTCACCAAACTCTAAATCTTCAGGTGGCCACAAGACCATTCAAGCAACGGCTTGGGGTTTCGTCATCGTGACTGGAGGGTTGAGTGGTGAGATCAAGGTGTTTCAAAATGTGGGTCTGCCATTTAAGGTTGGGCGCTTGTGATCCATCTCTTTTAAACGTACGTACGTGCTTCTAAACACTTAGATTTTGTAGTCGGTAAGGAGGAATTTAACGAATTTATGTGCCGATACATGACCACTCTAAACTGAACCTTGTACATTAGATTGTATCCTCGAGATTCTTTATAGAAAGTTGTGATACATGTAAAATGTGAATGTGATATGAAATGAAAGTAAATTGTCATTTAGTAGAAAACAAATGTGATCAACTTTCTTATTCTTCTATTCTGCTACGCCAATTCTCAAAACTCTAGCGATGATGTGAATCTTAAGTGTTAAGCGCTATCGAGGGTTATGGCAGCGGGGACTAAGGCTAAGCGGAGTGGCACTCGCCAAAGCCACTCGCTTAGCTCGCCATTGATGTAGAACACCACCCCCTAGCTCTCGCTAGGGGGCTCGCCAAAGCATAGTCGCCATCCTCATAGCGTGAAGAAAGAGAAAGAAGTGAAGACTTTGATTGGGTGAAATAGTTTGTTTGGGATTGCGATTTCTTTATGATATGCTTAAACAATTAATTAGGGGGGATCGAAAGTAATATAAACTAAAATTAATGTTTTTACATTAAAAAAACAAATTGCTTTAACCAAATAAACACCAAAAAAACATAGAAATATGCAATAACATAATAACTCATTGAAATCAAAATAACAGTATCTAAAATCAAAACAACAATGTAAAAACAAATAGCAAATAACAGTGTCTAAAAACAAACTGTTCAAAATCAAAAGTGAAAACAATACCTAATATCTTAATATAAAATTTGTAATAAAGTAACAATAAACAATCAACATTGAATTGATTAGATTCTCAAAGGCCAAATCACAACAAGCCAACAAACAAGAGCATTTGGATTTTGGCAGTCTTAATTTCTAATCCGAGAAATTGAGACTTGAGAGAACAGGAGCATATATATATATATATATATATATATATATATATATATATATATATATATAGCCTACAGGAGAAATGATGTAAATTTCAAGTTACTGGGGGTCTTGGTAGTGTATGAACATACCCGATTGTTGAATTGATTATTGAATACTGATTCCCAAATCACAACTAAACTACAGGACTACATCCTACAGGAATAGGAGAACCGCTGAATCGGAAGCGAAGAAAGAATGACCTAACATACCTGATTTGAGTGATTTCCGGTGACACTGTCACAACTTATTTTCGATGAATGGTGACTGTCGATTGGCAATTTTACGAGATGGTGAGAGGCGAGACCAGGCCACACACGTCAAGACTCCAACGATGAGCGACCAGCGAGGCAGTGAGCGATGATGGGGATTAGGGCGGAAGATACGATCGATTCCACTTTGTGCTTCACTCATTTGGTTTGGATTTTGGAAATCGAACTATAGACTATGGAGAAATCGGGAGGGGCTACTGCCCAAATTTGATACTAAATATTTTGAAGTCATATTTGCTATTTATGATCCAAATATCAGGGGGGGGGGGGGGGCACAACCCCTCCTGGCCCTACATATACTCCGCCCCTGGATATAATCAATCTTAAAGAAAAATAAAGATACAAAAATTAAAAGAAATCCATCGAGAAAAACTTCATCTTATTGAAGTCGGCGATTTCTTTATGATATAATGAATTTTCAACTTATGATTTCACTCCTATAACAATAATAAATAAATAAAAGACTAAACTGCACAAATGGTCCTTGTGGTTTGCTTAAAATTACCACTTTGGTCCAAAAATATTTGGACTAGCACCAGAGGTCCAAACTTTTCATTTTGTTGCGAGTTTGGTCCAATTTGCTATGAACTTTTTCATAATGACGAATTTACCCTTGTTTTTTCATTTTTCATTTTTTTTTTATTATTTAAAGATTTTTTCTAATTAAAAGAAAAATAAAAAAGAAAATTTTCCTTTTTTATTTTATTTTTATAATTTTTTATACCGGAAAAAAAAATGCAAACTATCTCTCTCTCTCTCTCTCCACACAATAAGTTGCTCATCTTCTTCACCACCAACCACCACCACCGGCGATGGAGGCTTCCGACGAAGCGGGTTTCGATATTTGAGGCTAGGATTTCTGGTGCCATAAATCTGAGAAAGGGGCGAAGGACGGACTGAGAAGATAGATGAACTGAGTCGGGTTTGCTAGAAATCGAGAAATCAGTTGCAAAATCTAAGAAATCGTTTTCCGGCGAACAAGAAACCCTCCTAAGGACGACGTAGATCTGTCGGAAACTGGACTCAATCTTTCCCTCTTTCTATTTGCTTTTCGTCGAAACCATCATCGCCTTTGTCTTTTATCTTCTCATCTGACGACGCCTTCGATCTGTTCGTCATCGGCAATGATGATGACGTCTGTGGCTCGATAAAACTCTAGTTTCAGGCATCAGAACCATCAAACCGCTCGACTCTCTTCTTCCCCACGAGGTGTCTACACAGCAAAAGACCTAACACCGCCACCCTTTAGTTTTACGAAACCCCAAGTTTTCAGATCTGTTTTAACCCTCTTCTCTCTCTTTTTCTTGTCGAACAACCAGCAAATTAGATCTTCGTCGTGGCGGCGAGATGTTTAGATCTTCGTCATCTGTGGTAATTTGGATGGTCCGACAGCGTTCATAACAGTAGAAGGAGAGAAAGAGAGAGAGATGGTCATCGTAGCAGCAGAAAGAAAGAAGAATGATGGTCTCTGGAGGTTCAGATCTCAGTTTTTTTTCTCTGGCGAAGTCGGCGCCGGATAGTTCTAGGGTTCCGACGTCGACGGTGGTTTTAGTGGTCGGACGACGGTGCTCCGGCAGCCACCGGAAATCTGGTGGTGTTTCCTTTTTCTGAATGGGAGAGAGAAAAATATGGGGTGGGGGGTAATAATACAAACAGTTTTTTTTTCCTTTTTTAGTTTTTGTAATTTAAAAAATAAATAAATAATGAAAATACAAAGGGCAAAATCGTCATTTTATAAAAATTCAAAACAGATTGGACCAAACTCGCAACAAAATGAAAATTTTGGACATGTGGTGCTAGTCCAAACCTTTTTGGACCAAAGTGGCAATTTTCGACATACCACAGGGACCATTTGTGCAGTTTTGTCTAAATAAAAAGCTAACAACCCTAGAAATTTGGCTGGCCTAACGTCCGCTCATCAACGAACCACCACAGTATATTAGTTCTCAATGTACTCCTCACGACTGATTTCGCCTTATCTATTTTCTTCTTTTGATGTTTGCGGCTGAGAGAATGGAGAAGAAAAGAAGGTTTTTTGCTTTTGCTTTACTCTTGGGACCGAGAAGAAGAGAGAATATATATGTTTTAAATTAATTTATCTTTTTCTAGATGTGATTAGGACTTTTCATTATTTTGTTAAAACCGAATTGTCCAACTAGATAATTTGGATTGGACTATTTGGTTCGGATATTCATATTTTTGGATTGATTTTAAGCTAAACCAAATTATTATTTTTGGATTTCGGATTGGTTTTGGTTTATAAAATAAGATCCGAATAGTCCAAATAAACGCGTAACAACATAGTATTAATTTTTAATATATATCTTTAATCATTTATAAATTTACTAAATTATTTTTTTAATTATTAGAAACTTTCAACCAAGATAGTATTTTAATATGTATTTTTTTTTTTTATCAAAAGTGTTTTGTCAATGAAATATTAAACTATAATTATTTTTTCTTAATAGTTGTTTATAAATTATAATTCATAGCTAAAAAAGTTTTATTTAAAGTGTTAGCTAATATTTAAGTTATACATTATTTAAAATGTCTTGCCTCTTAAAAACCAAATTGTAAAAGCCGATCCAATAGAACTGTAATTTGGTTGGATCGGATCGGATTTGAATTTAGTTTATACTATTTGGATTCATGTTTTGAAAACCAAAATTCATTTGGATTTACTAGATTGGATCGGATCAAACCGATCCATCCAAACGAAAACCTCTAGATGTGATACTGTTTGTATGAGACACTTGGAAGAAGACTAAAAAGTCAAGAAATTGACTCATTTACATCGACTTCTTTGGGAAAACAAAAAAGTAACATGTTCCTACCCATTTCATTTTTATTTGTTTTTTATTCTAATCGTCTTTTAATTCCAATTGTTTTATGCTTTAGGATTCAATTGTTATCTAGCTTTTGTTGAATAGATCTTTTCAATTGTTAATTTAAGATATGTCTAAATGTGCATTTTTAAAATTGCAAATCGTCAAACAAACCAAAAAAACGAAAAATAAATCATTATTAATTGTCGTATAGTGCAATTGGAATTAAAAATATCGATTCATAAATTGCAATATATTGTTTTAACTCGTATTAAAATAATTATTCTACAAACTTTATTTGTGATTTGTTATCTTATTTTGTGATTATTGCTTTTTTTGGAGCAAAATCTTATTTGATTGATCCAAATAAAATAAAAAATTATGTGTATTAAAATATATAATTTAATTTAAATTTGAAAAACAAAATGAAATGCTAGGAATGTTATCATTCCCTTCCAAATAGGCTGTCAAATCGGGGTAGTCGTGTCGTGTTTGTGTCTGACACGACACGATACGATAATGGTTTGTATAACACGAACACAGTGTTTTTTTTTCATTAACACGAAACAAACCAATTAAAACACGACAACACGAAACGACATGACAAATATAATATTACAAAACTATTAATATATTTCGTTCATACTTAAAGATATATAACACGACAAAAACGAAAAACACGACAACCACATGCTTAATCGTGTCAATTTCGTGTCGATTTATGAACATGAACATGACACGACACGAAATCGTGTTTTTTAATCTTGACACGAAAACGACACGAACACGAATTCGAATTTTGATTTCGTCCCCGATTTCGTTTCGTTTCGTGTATTTTTGTCATGTCGTGTCATAAATTGACACCCCTACTTCCAAATGCTAAAATTAGATGCTAAGAAAGAAAAATGATATGACACTCAAAAAGATGATGTGTCAATGTGTTAGGAGTGTTATCACTCCTCCTAACCTAACATATTGTGGAGTGAATCTCATTGGGAGTGGCGTATCAAAAATAGAAAGGTTGAGTACAATAGTAATGCTATGGTTAGGGTGGATAAAGAGAAACTGTCAAGAAAAAATCCAACGAAAAAGCGTTAGGAAAATTGTCTTGCATATTATGGGCGTGTTCGGCAAAATTAGCTGTCAGCGGTAGCTTGTAGCTTATAACGTTTTGTTAAACGCTACATGAAGCAGCATTTGAACTTGGAGCGTTTTGTTTAAACTAAACGCTAGAAGCTTGTAGTATCGAACGAGACTTTCTGTTCAAAATGGAGCGTTTTGTCAAACGTTAGAAGCTAGAAGCTCTTAAACGCTGCGTGTCGAACACATCCTATACCTTACAAATTTTCCACGACGCATGGAATCTTGGGATTATGGACATTATGTGGTACGTTTGGTATGGTCATTGATGTGTGTGTGTGTGTGTGTGTGTATATATACACACACTAATAAAAGAGTAGTTATTTTACCATGTGTCATCATATTAAACATTTTAATTAATGTGTTACTACTTATCAATCTATTAGTTTTCCATTTTAAATTTATTAGACTTCCTTATTAATGTGATTTTATTTTAAATTTTAAATTTTAAATTAATCTTTTCATTAATTCACAAATAAAAAATATCTAATATATATTACAAATTAATTTTATATATTTATTTGAATCAATGATTATAATTTCACATAACTAATAAAAATATCTCTTAAATTAATAATTTATTTAAATAACTTATTAATAATTTTGAGTTTTTACTATAAAAATTTGATTAATTTTATAACTGTGGTTCTCACGAGTTATAAACTTTTATATATATATATATATATATATATATATATATATATATATATATATATATATATATATATATATATATATATATATATATATATATTAAGTTATGCGGTATAATGTTATGAAATACAAAGAAATAAAATGGACAAAGATTTCTACTCGTTACTAAAAATCAGAATGAAATCAAAAGGTTACAATAAGACTGCCTACAATGTTTTGAAACTACTAATTATAGCCTACGATTCCTAATATTAAATTGCAAAGGTACACTACACAACTATTTTATTTTATTGCAAAGTAAATCAAAACATAAAATTATCCACGAGAAAGAAAGACTATCCTATCCTTCATTTAAAAAACTCTATCTTTCCATAGGTATCCAGGAAAAAAAAAAAAAAAAAAACACTATATTTCCACATATATCCTTGTTAATTTCTTTTCTCTAGAGAGATGTCTAACATTCCTTAAATCTATGTTTACATTCTTTCCCTTAAACCGAACGAGATTATCTAGCTATCTTACCAAACTATCCAACTGATTTAAATATCACATTCTCCCCTTAAACTGATCAAATTGAGTATCCCTTTCCAACAACAAATTGGGAAATGAAAAACAGTCAGTTGTCGAATCTTGACAACAACTCATTTTTTGGGAAGATTCCAGTCGTGCTTTTGAGGACTATAAAAGCTTGGTATGGTTAGATCTCAACACCAACTTGGTACTATGCAACCTGCTCTCTTCAATCAAAAGCAATATGGATACATCGCTGCAACATACCTTTACTAGAAAGCCATTTATATACATAAAAATGGTAGGAGTAAACGATGTTACGACACCAAAATTTTGCTAGAGTTTGGAGGAATCCCAAGAGAGGATTTAGACAGGATATGTATCAAGTTTGTCGAGACATCCATGTGTGTTACTTCATGAGACTATTTAGGGATCATTGAGCCAAACTTCAATCATAACAGTTTGATGATCTTTTTTGATCCTTTGTATAACAAATTGAAAGTCGATATTCCAAAGGAGCTTGGGTGAATGTACTACCCATTCATATTGAATAAGTCATAATAATCTTACATACAAGCCTGATTGAAGTGTTGGAGGCGGATGCGAATTACCTAACATTAGTGACTTAGGAGAGGGGAAAGAGATATGGAATAGGAAAATGGATGTCCTATTTTAAGGTAGGGGTAGACCAGAGTAGGTTAGATCGGGCTTGGACCTCGACCTGATAAGCCTTAACAGGTCCGGTCTAAGAGTCGGTTTGGTTCGCTCCGGTCAAAATGCTCACTTTTACTTTCAAGAACCAGGAACCAAAGACACCGAACCTTGACTTGATAAGCCTCAACATCAACAACAGGTCCGGTTCAAGGTTCACAAATTAATGTAAAACCAGACTGATCTGTTTCTGTCCAAATGTTCACCCTTAAAATAAGGTTGTTTTATGTAAATTACAAAAATGCTCCTTCAAATTCAAACAATTACCAAAAAAAAAATGCGCATTTTCATCATTCTACATGCATTAAACCATATAGACCAGCCATGTTAAAAACCTAATAGTATAACCAAAAGTGCGAGTGTTGGCAAGATACAGGGACCAAATGAGTAATTTACTCTTCTTACTATAATCATTGTGTTGTGATTGTGGGGCTTGCCGTAACGTTTATGTCAAACGGAAGGAAGCCTCAAAGTTTGAAAATTTTGAATTCTCAGGTGGCGGGCTTTTGCTACAGAGTTCTCTCTTCCGTCTCCGAGAGATGACCTCTCCAATATGCCAAACCCTAGATGACAACGACCTCGACGACGAAGCTCTGTGGGCCGTAATTGACTCTGCTGCCGCCTTGTCGTCTCTCCCCTCCGCCTCCAAACCTCAAAACAATAATAGTAGTCGCTTTCATTCTCCCAAAATCACATTTCCGATCATCTCGAAATTCACCTCTCCATCCCCGTCATCCAGCAACACAAAACCTAGATGTCACTCAATGACCGACGGAGAGGTATTGCAAGTGGAGAGTTCCATCGACCGACCCCCGAAGAATAAGATCGCCAGGTTTTCTCTCTGTGAAACAACTTCTCCTCCCGCTCCTCTTGTTATGATGAAGCACGTGCAGCGCACGCCTCCCACGCCATCCACGTATTGTTCGGAGTCTCAGATTCAAAGTCCTGCAGATCGTTCCTCCGATTGCTCGGTGATGACACATAGCTTGTCTGGTCGATTTCCTACGGTTGCTCTCTTCAAAGAATATCAGAATGCTGCTATGGCGGTAGGTACATATTATAATAATCTTCCTCCCGTTTTTGGTTTGTTTTGGTTATTGCTTCATATACATATGCATATAAAAATATTCCATTCGATTCCAAAACATGAAATAAATTTTTTTAGAGTTGATGTAGGGTGAAGTAGTTCTCATGTTGGCAACCTGATATACATTCTATAAGAGCTGTGATAAACGAGTACTATGATTAGTACCTTTTTTTGCTTCAATTTGTATATGAAAAAATCTTCAAATGTATAATGTCAACCTCAAATGTAAAAGTGTACATCTTACTCACATTGTTCCACAAGAATTGCAACATTTAACCATATACACATTGTTGACCAAAATGAATCACTACTAGCATATGGTTATTAGGATGAGGTCATGTAGTAATACACATTGTTGAACGTGATCCCTAAATTAGTGGTTGCAAAAGACTACATTAAATAAAGTAGTAACTTTCCTACTCATAGTATTCTCCACCCTGTATTGGTGTACTGTTGTAACAGAAATTGACCTCTGTTTGCAGATTTTAGAGAAGGGCGACTATACTATGATCTCTGGGAACCCTTTCATCAAAAAATCTGGTAAAATTAATTAGTTTCCACCTTCTAATTTATTTAAATCCTCGTAATGCTAACTCATCTATGGACAAAAAAAAAACAAAACAGGGTGGAGAAAGATATCATTTTATTTCAATATATCATATGAAATTAAAGAAAAGAGTATAGAATTTGATGATAATCATAATGTGCAGCGTGCTGAGTTCATAGTTCGGGCACACATGCAGTATGTTTTCTTGAGTTTTTTTTTTTATTAAAATCGAAAAGTTGGTTGCTATTTTTTGTTAATATTGATTATAATGTAGAGGGGGTAGGTTCTCTGATGGATGGGGATCATGTGAAAGACGTGAGAAGAAATTTATGAAACCAAATCATGATGTTCCAAGCACTGCTGAAACCAGGGCAAAAAATAAAGCATGCCAGGTGGATTTCCATTTCACTCTCCTTCTTGCTACTTTTCAGGGTCAATTTTGGAATAAAAAAATAGTTATGTTCTTTTTGTTTGCAGGACCTGCTAGGTATTGGAGAGTATCGTCCTGGTGTTAATAGTCAAAGATAAAAAAGAAAAAAAAAAAAAAACAAGTTTATAATATCATATGTTCAAACCAACTTTAAAATATGTGGTGAACTGCAAATAATATTGAAAGACTGTTGGGTAAATATATTGTCATGTGCTAAATTGCCAATGGTGTCATATTCCCTAAATACCAAACAACACATCACAAAACATGGCCTCACCATAACTTTTCACATTTTGATGAACCTTTGTTGTACATGAACACATTTTCAAAATCTTAAATCTTACTAACATGGGTAGCTAATCTAACCACAAGTCTTTGTGACTCATCAAAACCTCTTAAGCTACCTAAATTCCAATCTGCTCTTCAAACAAAAAAAAAAAAAAAAAAAAAAACAAAGATCATTTAATATATTTTCTCTATTTTTGAAGCATTCAGTTTTGGTAATATTTGCGGAGAACTAAGATCTTTAATTGCTTTGTGCAAGATGAGATATGTGTTTGAGAGCATCCCTCCTTAAGTACAACGTGGCAGCAATCCTCTTTGTAGACAATTATCTAAAATTGAACAAAACAAACATAAAAGCAATCAAGAACAACAAAAACGAAAGACTTGTTATAACATAGACTTCATAATTGAAAGGCTAGAGAGAAACTTGCTACCTTGTTGATCATATTAAACCATTTAAATACACATGCATGCATGCATGTGTGCATGTGGATATGTATGTATAGAGACATACACATGTATAGATGCATGCACATGCAATGATGTATCTGCATATTGACAGATGTATCATGTATGTTGTATGTGTGTAAGTATCTATGTGTGGATAAATAGATGCAATCACAATAGTTCATCGATACCGCTTTATGGCTTTGTGCTAAAGGTGTGTATGTATGCTTTGAAAAAGTTGTGATGGTAGTGCATACATTGGAGATAAGTTGTTAAATGTTGCATGACTGTTCCACTTTTTACTAAAATGGAAAGTTTAGATGCTAATTTAATAGTCTTCTATAAGTTCTATGTTGATGCTATATATATATATATATATATATATATATAATATATATATATATATATATATATATATATATATATATATATATATAGAGAGAGAGAGAGAGAGAGAGAGAGAGGGCATTACGCGAATGGTTAGGAACAAAGTCGTAGGCCCATAACAAATCCCTATTGGTTTATGGTAGCTAGTAGAGGCAAGATTGCAATTGATTAACGAGCGTAAACTTAGTTATATGAATCCATGTCAGGAGCTTGACGATTGTCAGACGCCTTACACGGTTCGTTGACTTGGATTAGGCATATGATGATATAACACGTGAGAGGATTTAAAAGACCCTTCTCCCTTATACGGTATGTATTGACGGTCAATAACATGTGTCCCAACTCCGATAGATGACAAAGTCTTTTCCATAAAAATAGGGCTCCATCAAGGATTAACACTTAGTTAGCTCGTATATTTCTCTTTGATCTTGGATGGGATTTTTTAGTGACATTGTAGTGGTGGCGAGGAAGGGGATAGAGTTGAGTGGTAAGTTAGACCACAATATCTTTTGTGCCAAAAAGCGAGTTTCAAGTACTTGGGATGAGCATTATGCAACAAGAAAGTCCTAAAACTGGAGGGAAAATTCTACATGATGAATCGCTTCGAATGCTATTCTATTGCTCTGAATGAATGCTTGGCCGATAAAGAAGGCACATGAGAGAAAGATGGAAGCTCTACAAATGATGATACACTCTCGTGGGCCTGCAGTAAAACTATTTTGGATAGGATACCAAATATGGTAATCAACAATGTGTAGATCACCTGTAAAATTGAGGAAAGGAAGATTGAGGTGGTTTGCGCTTGTCTGAAGGATGGCAACCAACAACTTCGGTAAGAGGGTGGACAATGTTATTATGGTATATGGAGGAAGTGGGAGAATCTTATGCTATGTGTGCATGTTAGTATATATCTACTTATTTATGTAGATTCCTTTTAATCCTAATTCTAGTAACTAGTAAGTTTTCTTTTATTTGATTATCTTCTATTTCTATCTATCCTAGGATGGAGGTATGGTTGTCTACATCTAACATCCCTCTTCCCTCGTTGTAGCGGGAATTCAATGTAGTTATTGTGCTTGTGAAGATCACATTAAAAGGCAAAGTGCACACTATTTTTAAAAATGCCACCGTGTTTTTTCAGCCATTGATCTTCACTGTACCACAGCCTAGATTGGTTCTCACAAGATCCTATAAATAAAATATGGTTTTACACCAAATACAAATAGTTGAATAACTTCAACAAAACAAAAACAAAAGAGCAAGTTAGTCTTGTTGCAAAATAACCATCTGAAATCATCCAAACACTCTCATTTCAACAAAATTTAGTCTTTATTTTGCATTTTACAAGTGTATTAACAGTTAGTTTGCAACAAAATCACAAGTAGAAGATTGATAGTATTTAGACAAAGTCCTCAAAAGAAACTTACATGTTATGATGCATTCGAACAGGCATTGGTCACAGAGTTGTCTTTCACACCCAAATCTGCAGATCTTGTTTCACTCTTACACAACTCCTCATCAAATCTGAACTCAAGCTGTTTTTCCACTGACTTTGAAGTTGACTTTCGTTTATATCTTAATCGGTAAGGAGGAGATGCATTATATGTCGTATTAACAGTACCTACACCATGTGATTCCGATTCCGATTCCTCCAAATCATTGTTACTTTTCCTTGAATTATCAGCGGTCAAAACCGTTGCCACATCATCACCCTTCGGAATCTTGTGAAACGAAAGAGATGACTGGTCTTTTCTCTTTCTCAATATCGAGGGCGTATTTGGAAAACTCTTGGCGGCAATTTTCAAGATTGATTCCGGGGTTTGACCATGTAAGCCGCCACCACCACACTTGTCGGCGTAAGGCGGAGTTGAAGAACACCGAGGTGATATCATTGGAATTGAATTGTAGTCACGGGAATTCCATGGCATGTAAAGAACACCCAATTCCGTTGGCATGAAACTTCCAATTTGTGGCGGCTCGTAATACAAAGAACCATACGTCGGAATCACGGATTGAATCGGAGTCGCATTTAACGTCTCCTGATTGATTCCATCCCGGACTGGCATCGGAATTGGAATCGTACTGCAACTCTCGAACTTTGGAACAAGATTCCGACTAAGGTGACTAAGATCAATCTTTGAAGGGTGTGACCTGATTCCAACGGCTTCGGAATCAGTGGATCCGGATTGGAGATAAGTTGATGAAGCATCTATGTCTTGTGAAGGGGTTGAGCATTCTATGTTATTATCATCATCCATGGAATCTGGTTCTACCTTGCGTTGTTCTGCGGGTCCCGGTGATGACCTGGCGGTTGTAACCGAACAAGTTATCAGTTTTCCGGTTGAACTTGTTTTGCTCATGTCTCCATCGTTCTTGGAAACAGTTGGAAGGTTTCCAGTGGCTAAATAAAAATCTAACTTTTTCTTTAAAGAACTATTCCAATGATTCTTTATTGCATTATCAGTCCTACAAGGGAACAACAACTTTGTAAAGGAATGTGCTTTGGTAAAACTATAAGGTGTAAAGTGTAAGTTTTATAAGGAATCACCTCCCAGGCAATGCCTTTGCTATTTCAGCCCATTTGTTCCCATGCACACGATGTGCATTCATGAGGGCTAATTCCTCTTGCAGGGTCCAAGCATCCTTTTTTATATCTGGATTCAAATGATTATGCCACCTGAAACATTACAAATTTAAACAATTTTTTTTAAGGAAGTCATGAAAAATATATTCAAGAAATGTAATTCTTTCATTATACCTTTCGCGACACTGTTTCCCAATACGACCTGGGAGAGACTTTGCAATCAGAGACCATTTTGTGGGCCCGTATCTTTTCACAAGTTCAACAATTTTTTCATCCTCCTGCAGCCAGAAAACAGAGGTCAAGATACTTTTTTAATCAAGTGTTTCAAAGAATATATGGATAAAAAAGTATAAATCAAATTAGGTGCAAACCTCTTGAGTCCATGGACCTTTAATAAGTTCTGGATTAAGAACCTTTTGCCACCGATGCAAACACTGGACTTCTGATCTATCAGGAAAATATTCAGCTGCAAAACAGCAACATTCTTAAGTCAACCCCGGAAATCATCTCCTTTTATGTTATAAAGAGGTCTAATAAATCTATGTAATGTAACATTCTAAGCATAAATTAACATTAGATGCTACTGGAAACATAAAAGAAAGAGTCTCACACCTATTTTCTTCCAGCATTTGCCCTTGAAAACACCAACAGCTTTTTTTAGAGTCTCATCCTGTAAAAGCCCACAGAAACTTCATAAAACATATTTTTTTTTTTTACAAAATTTTGCATGTTAAACGCCACCATATTGCACAAAGATCAAACAAACTACATACCTCCTCTGGGGTCCATCCCCCTTTTGCTCTTCTGATAGGTCCACTTGTCCTTCTATAATTCCAAATCATATTCTTAGTGCAAGAAACCAAACGGAAGTACTAATTCAAAGATGAAATTAAAACAGACAAAGAATAAATAAACATAGGCATTAGATTATGCAATAATGAGTATATATCTCACATAGTGATAAAAGTTCTTTCAATGTTTTGGCATCCTTCTGTAATAATATCACCATACTAGATACGAATGGTAAGTTGTAAGTCATATATCATATCATTTTCATATATATATCTTCAGAAGGAGTTCAATTGCAGATATGATAAATCTGATATACAATGGGTACACTATAATGCAAGTGTATAAACCATGCATCAACATTGAAGTAAATCAACAGAAGCATACCGATGAGGTGGAGATGTAGCAGTTGGACTAGAAGTTCGTGGGGATTTTGGCAAGACAATGCCGCTACTACCTTCAGAGATGGATGAGCTAGAAGCAGCTGCCGATTGCTTGTTCTCAAGGCATCGTTCCTCCAACTCCACCTTCCCCATATATATATATATAATTCTTCGTAGATACAACCCTTGCAAAGTACAGAAACAATTAATTGTAATAAAACTAAAACCCTCGCAAC